TCATGCTGGTGCGACCATAGTTACAGGTATTCTATCCCAACTGATCGACAGAATGCCATCGCCATAATACTGTCTATATATTACATAGGTGATTATCCAAATTCCACTATCGGTGGGTTTTGAACTCACAACCTACCACTTGGGGGTATGATAACTTATCCACTTCACTAAGTTGCCATACCCCTAAATTCTATAATTAATAACTGAATAGTTGAATAAATTTTTATTCTAATGAATCTAGAAATCTAGATTATTTGTCTTGTTTTAGGTGATGCTATTAAGAATTCTTTCCCAATCGATATTAGTAGTAAAGTGATTATTGAACATTTCAGATATGAGATTTGGAAGAAGAAGCAGAATGCCTTTAGCAATATTGATGATAGTGATTTGAAGCTATGGAAGGTCTCTATTCCTCCAAGTAATGAAATCTAAGAAAAAAATTATCTGTTAAAATTAACATTAAAGAAGAGCTCAAAAGGGAATAGTTGGCTTTTTTTGAAGTAATAAAAAACAACTTTAGCAAATCTAATACTTACATTCAAGTATTTGTACAACTGCTTGCAACTATTAGTAAGTGTCTTACCTCTAGCATGAGTGGCACAGAAAAATTTTTGAGCATGCCCAGAAGGCATGCTCTTTAGTTTTTTGAATTTAAGAGTATGCCTTATAGGCATGCTTCTAAAATTTTTATATAATTATTGTTTTACTATATAAATTTTTTTTAAAAAAAGCATGTTCTTGAATACAGTATTGTATATTTTGACTGTTCCAAGCTTTTTTTCTTTGTTCCATTCTGTCTCAGTACATCTCAACTTTTTCCTATCAATATTTCAACTACTAATTTATAAAATTATATAAAAATGATATGATATATATAAAATTAAATTTGAATTATTTTCAATTAAAATTTAAAATAGGTTATTCTAATAAAATTTTGAGTATTAGATACTTTTTTAAAACCTTAAATTTGTCTCACAATTGTCTTAACTGTCTCCTGTTTAGGCATGTTCATAGATTCTATACCCCTTATCCTACTTATCTCTCAAACAAGAGAATTTGATAATATTAACTAATTTCTTTTTTTGATTTTTTTATTGTTTTCATATAATAATAACTCAACAGATGTATTTAAAAACAAGACAAAAATATCAAGACTAGGTATAAAGCTATATTCTTTTGAGTTTCATACTAATATGTATTTTATTTACTTTCTTTTCTTACTTTGCATTGAATAGAAGGTCTTAGAAGAACAGCTTATTAGAAAAAAAAATATAGAGTTACTTACAAAGATGTAGATCTTATTTTTGGTACTATATGTAAAAGAGAGTCAACGATTAACAGACTGCTTGAATGTCTGCTTAAGAGACATATTATTTTAGTTTAGTCAGTACTAATGATTAGCAAAACTGTGCTTATGCAACTACTTGAGCATAACATGCTTCAATCAGATAAAGTAAAAAAAAGATTGAAATATCTTTTCTGCATTTCATTGTTATAGATAAAAAGAAGAAATGAATTATGACCATTTGCAAAAAGATTTAAAGAGCTTATGAATATGACTTAAAATGAATTTATTGATAAATGTGATGACATATTAACATTTTTGATTATTAATGAGATGCAAAAGATTTATAAGCCAGAGAATGAAGACAAGACTTGGCATGATGAAAATGTATTTTGGAATTTATTTAAATACATACTACAATTCTCAAGTCTTCATATTGTAACATTTGTTTTATATAGGCATTATGGCACTTACACTTCTTGCAAAGATCATGCAATAATGGATATTTCATTATGCTCTCTTCAAAAATGCAACATACAGATATAGGGATTTAAAGACGTTCACTTTACCAGAAAAGAGTTTAATTGTTATTTTAATTACTTTTATGAGAAAAATCTTCAAATGTTAAAAGAAAAAGACCTTCCACTTCTCTCTTGCTATGTTTCTGAAATAACAGCTCTTCATTCCAGTTTAGTTTTCTTTACTATGAACCAAATTCATATGAGATTTGTCAAACATACTTTTGAGCTCTTAACATTTGTGAAAGTTTTTACTTATCTTAAGTTTTATGATTTTAATGATCATTTTAAGATAAATGCATAAATTTTTATAATAAAATTTTAATGACTGAATATTTAGACAATTTTTATATAATGTACTTTTTAGGATATTCATGCAATGTCTAAAATTAATAATATGCTAGATAAAGAAAAAAGTATTGCTAATACTGTACTTTTCAAGAAAAGAAGCCTTGAAATTTTAACTGATACAATTCTATATAAGAGTTGAATTATTAAGACAAACATTCTTGTTAATACTGAAATAACAAAAGAAGGTTATTTAACTCTTGACTTTTAGTACCATTACTTTGAGCAACATATCTTTAAAATCAGTTTGGTTTGGTGATACAATCTAAATCACTACCTAATATATTCAAGAACTTCATCATTTCAGTGTTTGCAAAAATAAACTTTAAGGTATTACAAAAAAGCTTGGGTGTTAATAATAATTATTATCTTCTTGAACATGTATGGCAAATAGAGTTTTATTATGCATCAATACAAGTTCTTCTTGCAGACATATATGCTTTTGTAGAAGTTGAAGCAGTATTTGGATCAAAGGCTACTTAGATTTTTATATAAATAATCAGCATAACTGGGCCATTAAATTATTACAAGATAAAGACAAATTGCAAGAACATCAACAAAGATTTTAAAAAGATGGTTGATATGCATCTATTCTTAAATATACAAAGAAATAGATAATTATTGATATTCAAAATAGTAAGAAAGAATCTCTAAACAAAAGGAAAATAATGTTATTTATGTTCTTTGTACTAAAAACTTTGAATCTGTTTAGTTAATATATTCTGATAGAACTAAAGATCATATTCAATTGCTAGGTGAAAATGAAAATTTGCTTGAGTATGATATATTAGAATTTTTAGATGATTTTACTTAGAGATTTATCTGATTATATCTTTATGGCTATTGAATTTTGTATATATTAATTCAAGTTTAATAAAATAAGATGCAAAATTATATTGGTTAGAAGTACAAAGTAAATTACAAGTTTTTTATTTTTTCAAGTTTAGAAGCTCAATGTAAGCAAAAATCTTTAATATTAGTTGTGATAAATTAAATGATAACTATAATAAATAAATAATATAAAGAAGGAATTTTCAGATTCTAATTCATAAAATATGTTTCTTTTTATTACTCTATATTATTAGATAAGTTATTATTATTTTTGCTATTTATTTAAGCATTTATTTTATTTAAAGTATTATTTTTAAAATTACTATTATTATAACTAGATAGCTGCATGACATCATCTTGCAAAACCAGAAACAGAAATTGTGAACAAAAATAAAGTCATACATATTTAATTCAGATTTTCAAGAATTAAGACCTTTAAGTTATAACTTACTTGGCAAAATTCATGTTTATAACATGTATAAACAAACCAATTACATTACCCTTAAGCAGTTAAACATCATCAAGTAGTATATACTAGTGAAATTTATACACTACCAATCTTACTTTGAGGTGTGATTCAATTAGGATTGTCAATTAGATCACACTGAACATAAATCTAATGCAGTCTAGTCTAGCTGCTTCTAGTTACTAAACATAGTAAAGTGACAATTCTGGGCTCAATTAATATCAATACTTTGAGTAACAATATTATTTAAACTATGTAATAGTGTGAAAGATGTCTCAAATAACTTCCAGTTATTGCATCAGCTCATCAAATTAAGGATAGAGGGTATTATATTAAAATTATATATAAACTCAATAGTAAAATTTTTTTATATTTAATTTTATAAAAAATTATATTAAGTAAACT